GACTAGATCTCGTGTGTTTGCAAGGATTTTTCAATGTTATCAAACAGACTCTCGGGACCCGTTTCATCTACCAACTTGTACTCAAAATCCCACACTATATGAACCCCCCATTCTCGTATTTCCTCATCAGAACGAATCTTTTCGGTGGGACGTAACCTGCTGCTCATAGCTCTGATCCGTAACTCTGTGAGATCCGAATAACGAGTCAGAGATGAAGAAGATTTGGTTAGAAGTTTTGATGTAAAATAAAAGTTTTGATTTTCATATTTTCAATTTAAATTCACATATGTAAAATAAAAGTTTAGATGCTTATAACAAAACTTTCAAGTTTATTGGTGATAGAGAGTTACATATATTAATTCCAAAATTGAGCAAATGAAAGATTTCAAATCTTAAGAAACTTCTAAAATATTTCAATCATACTTATTTTAAAAATTTATTTAGAAGAAAATATTCTGCCGCGTAGCGCGGACTTTTATTAAAAATAAAAGTCCACTTGAATCTACTCTCCCATGATTGGTCCACTTGGCAAATCACTTTTTCAAAAACAATTATAATAATATTTATGTCTTACTAAACCACAAATACAACACATTTATTCATATACATTAATCTACCATTTAATACCAAATTGTAACCATCATACAAATTGTGTATTAATTGTATTTTTCCCCACTCAATGTCATTCAAACACACTATAAATTTAAGTTGTAACTCCTATAATTTAATTATTATTAAAATGTAACTTCCATCACTTCTTCTTCCACCATATCTCAAATCCTAAATATTTTCTTTATTTTTGTGTTGTTGCATGAGTTAAAAAATCAATTGAGACTTGAGACATCATTGTAAAGGTTTGATTATAAATTTTGTTTTTAGAGACTATATGGTATATATTTTACATTGTTTTCAATTTTATTTTTATTCTAATGTCTTACTTGAATATACTTATTCCATAAATGAAATATCTAGAGTCAAGTGTTTGCAAGGATTTTTCAATGTTATCAAACAGACTCTCGGGACCCGTTTCATCTACCAACTTGTACTCAAAATCCCACACTATATGAACCCCCCATTCTCGTATTTCCTCATCAGAACGAATCTTTTCGGTGGGACGTAACCTGCTGCTCATAGCTCTGATCCGTAACTCTGTGAGATCCGAATAACGAGTCAGAGATGAAGAAGATTTGGTTAGAAGTTTTGATGTAAAATAAAAGTTTTGATTTTCATATTTTCAATTTAAATTCACATATGTAAAATAAAAGTTTAGATGCTTATAACAAAACTTTCAAGTTTATTGGTGATAGAGAGTTACATATATTAATTCCAAAATTGAGCAAATGAAAGATTTCAAATCTTAAGAAACTTCTAAAATATTTCAATCATACTTATTTTAAAAATTTATTTAGAAGAAAATATTCTGCCGCGTAGCGCGGACTTTTATTAAAAAATAAAAGTCCACTTGAATCTACTCTCCCATGATTGGTCCACTTGGCAAATCACTTTTTCAAAAACAATTATAATAATATTTATGTCTTACTAAACCACAAATACAACACATTTATTCATATACATTAATCTACCATTTAATACCAAATTGTAACCATCATACAAATTGTGTATTAATTGTATTTTTCCCCACTCAATGTCATTCAAACACACTATAAATTTAAGTTGTAACTCCTATAATTTAATTATTATTAAAATGTAACTTCCATCACTTCTTCTTCCACCATATCTCAAATCCTAAATATTTTCTTTATTTTTGTGTTGTTGCATGAGTTAAAAAATCAATTGAGACTTGAGACATCATTGTAAAGGTTTGATTATAAATTTTGTTTTTAGAGACTATATGGTATAACATAATATAAATTATTTTTGTCTTATTTAAGACCTCTCAAAATGCTATCTCTCTCGCTAGCATTTATAAGTTCATGTAAGAAAAACTCACAAAGATTATCTTAAATCTACAAATTCGCATTATTTAACAGAAATTCTACTAGTAATAAAACACTACTAGAATAAATAAAATAAAAAACAAATCATGATAAATTGAAAGCAAAGTAAATTATATACCTTGATAACACATGAACTTCGCTGGCTGTGTAGAGAAATAATCTAAAGAATTTGACTAGAGAACTTCCTCTTCGGAACAGCTAAAGAACCTCTTATCTAAACGAAGTGAAGAATTAGTCTGTGTACCAATATACTGAAATCAATTAGAAAAAAAAAACTTAATTTTCTTTTAATATTTTTTCTTAAAAATTTAATTTATTTATAGAAAAAAATAATTATGCAACAAGTGTGGCTACATACACCTAGTTACCACATGATGAGAGTGATGTATGTGTGTAAATCTAGATACATATAAAAAAAAACTTAAAGAAAATTAAGTTAAGCAAATAACATATACAGTGGCGGATGCAAGCATAGAGGTAGGACACGTGCTCCATAATCATTTTGTAACTTTTAATTAATTTTCGTAATAAATGTATTAAAATTAACAAAACATTTCAAACTTATTAAGTTTATGCCCCATGTTAACATAGTTTATGAAGAATTTTCAAATTCATAAAGGTTGTGTCTAAGCTTGTGCATATGGGTTTCAGATCGGATTCGGTTCGATTTTTTCAGATTTGTATAACTCGGGTAGAAGAGTTATTATCCGTTCGGGTATTATGACTATTTGTTTTGGTTTGGGTGATGTCAAATTTGGATCGGTTTTCAAAAAGATGTATAATTTTGACAAATATAACTAATAATTTTTGGAAATCTAGGTTATTTTGGATTTTTTGTTATTTTTGTTTATAAAATTGTAACTTAATATAACTAATATTTTTAGAAATATAATTTTACATCGAGTGTTCGGGTATATTGTTCGGTGTTTGGTTTGGTTCGGATAATTTAGATAGAAATATTTACAATTCATTAGGATTTTTTACAATTAGGTTCAATTTCAGAACCTGATTTTCGGATTTTCGTTTTTATATCCATGCCTAATTGTATCCCATGTGAAAATAACTTTTGGATCCGCCATTGAACATATAATAGCTATCAAGGACATATGCTTAAAGTAGTTTTTCTGATGATTTCTTTGGTTTTTCGAAGTGGGAATTGGTATTGAGATCAAACTTAAAGTATAATTGTTTTATCTACTTTAATGAATAAACATATTAATTTTGTTAGATTTCAAGTGTTGTATGGTTATTTATAGATAAATTTGATGCAATTTTAAGTTTTTATGTTAAGTAGTTAATATGTTTGGAGTTTTATGTTTTAGTGTTAGTAAAGCTTTTAAAATATAACCAAAATAACTGAAATTCAACATTTGTTATGTAAACAAATAAGGCAATGAAGATAGTTAGGCCAACGCGATGTGGTTTTAAAGACATAATAACCTTTTGATGTTATGTTTTTAGTTTTAGTTTATTTCTATCTATTTTGTAAATATTCTTGTTTAATGTAAAGTTAAAAGGTGGTCATATCAATTTAACTCAGTTTGGGTTGATTTGTAGTAATCATATAAAAGATTTTGTAGTGAATTATATAATTATATTTTGGTTTCATTTATTATCATGTTACATATGTTTAGCTTCGGAAATAAAAAATTTAATGGATAACTTTATGAGAGATTTTATTTTATAGATCTTAAGATGTTATATCATTCATGAACATATATAAGATTGTGTGTTTTTGTGCACATGATTATGTGTTTACACACTATTTGACTAGATGTTATTTGCAATAAGATGTAAACACACTATTTGACTAGATGTTATTTGCAATAAGATATTTACATGTTTAAGTAGATTTTACTATGTATCAATATTGAACTATTAGTATTGACTATTGATTAATGTATTCCATATGTGTTTGTCTGAGACTTCTGATAAGAAATATATAATCGTTTTGGGAATTTTTTGTGTATTCCTCTTGACCTCAATGCTCGAATATACACAAACTTACAAGACTTGGGAACCAAGTTAGAATCCTAACTAAAAGGAAAGATATGATTGACACAAATCTAAAGACTTAACTATACGATATATGCAAATCTATAGATACGGATATTGGATATTCTCCATTAAGTTCCATAGTCAATATACCTTAGTATCAATGTTGAACTGTTAGACCATCTCCAATGTATTTTCCTATTTTTAGCTCTATTTCTATAATAGAGGTGAGTTTTCTCTATTTTTACTCCAATGTGTTCCTCTATTTTTCCTTGTAAAAAGTTTAACTCTATTTATAGGGGAAAAAATAGAGATTCTCTATATGATACTCTATATATAGAGGAAAAAAAATAGAAATCTCTATTTTAGAGGTAGGAATAGAGGTGAGTTGGAGTAGATTTACCTCTAAAATAAAGAGATGGGTTGGAGATGCTCTTAGTAACATTGATAAATGTATTGGTAGAAAAACAAAATTTTGTATAGTTATTAAAGTTTTATGTTACTTAAGTTCAAACTAGCTGAATAAATAGTGCAATAAAATTAAAGTTACCCATTAATGTAACAAATAGTATAAATAAAGAGTTGTTACAAACAAACAAAAAAAGTAAGATACAATGAAGTCAAAATCCACAACACTATTGTACCATCAAGAACTTCAAAAGATGACAAAATAAAACCCTTAAACCCTTTCACACAACTCTCTGAACCCTCCAAAGAAGACAGAATCTGGAATATTAATTATGATCCAGTTTCTGTGAACCCCATAAAAACATCCAACATCAAACTATCACCAACCCAAAGAAAACTTTGAGAAACAATCACAAACAAAACATACAGGCATGCTCTCAGATGTAAGAAAAAAAAAGTAACTTGAGGGCTGTGTCCTTTTAAAACCAGAACTGCAAAATCCACAAGTTCAAATGCTCCTAAAATCGCGAGTCGACCATCGCCTTACTCAGGTTCAAATGGTCCTTACTCTACTGGAGGACGCCGCCTCAACCTCATCCTACTCAGGCTCATACTCAGCACTTTCACAAGAAATGGAAAAGAAAGATGAAAGATTTCTTGACTGATCACTGTTAGATCATGTCAAGCTTGACATTCTTCGTCTGTGGTGACACAGTTTAGCTCTCACATTTGGATCCGATGAAGTAACCATCTTGCTCCTTGGTGAAGAAGTATCATTCATATTCTTTCTCTGTAAAGAATTATCCTTGATATATCTTTTAGGTGTTTCTGGTGTTGTTCCACTGTTAGCTTCAGCTTGAAGCGGTTTTGTGTATGATCTTCTTAGAAGAACTCTGTTGCGTGAGTCAGAGAGGCTAAGCGACTGAGAAGTGGAGAATTGAGTGAGGTTTTTAACCATTGATCGTATGCTCTGAGCCTTTGCATTGATTTCCTTCTCTGACATTGTTTGCCTTTGGCGACTAGCAACAGTTGAAGTCATGAAACGTGGGACAAAACCAGAACTCTTGCTTATCTTGACTAGTTTATCAGATGATTTTGGGGTTGCATCCGTCTCTTGTAGATGATCTAAAGGCGAAAGAACTTTCTTTTCGATATCTTCTAGATGCTTATCATTGGTGATCCAAAAGAGTTTCTTGTTTTCATTAAGCAGACACTCTGCTTCCAGTAACCGCGCTTTGATCTTCTTGCAGTTGTCTTGAGTTTCTCGCATTTCCACTTCAAGTTCCGATATTTTCTTTTCTCTTAGCTTTTGGAGTTCCTAAGCAATGATCATGAAAACATTCAGCAATCAGTGAAATGAATTAATATCGAATTGCAAATACTGCATTACAGGTGCTTACTGATGTTAATCCTCTGTTAGACTCTAAGGCTCTCGCACGTTTAGTAAAGCTCAGAGAGCAAATTGTTTCACCAACATCTTCATCACGTGGACTTATGTGCACAAGCATCAGAACCTTTGATCTAGTACCTAAATAAAGTTAAATCACAAATCCATTAAACTCACAAAAACAATCAAACTTAGATAACTTAAGTATATGGTAATCTCAAAAGACTTTTAAGATAATATTCTAAGCAACCATATGCCTTTACCTAGAGAATCTTTAAGGATTTGAGTTAGCTTGCTGTTTCTGCAAGCAAGAAAAAAGGAAAAATAAAGCTAAACTCAGTAGCAAAACCAAAGCAAGATCTATTTCACTTCTGCCAGATAGATGTCTCTGCTTCAATGGTATATGTGAATGAAAAGGAAATAAAAGCTGAGAGCTTGCCTGTAAGGCACATGTCCCTTCTTTCTCCTTAACGCTGCAATTACGTCTCCAAGAGCGGACAGTGAGAGGTTTATGGCCCTTCCTTCATCCATAGTTTGCCCTATAGCCCCGGTTTTCAAGAGCCTCTCGCTTCCTCCAAGATCTATCATCCAAAGCTTGCTAACTTCAGTTTTTGACCCCACAGCATCCCCACGACGAAAGATTGTGATCCTTGTTAAACTAGAGATGAACTAATTGAATAAGGGTAACTACCAAACTGAAAAAAAAAATATGAGTACAAATACAGTTGGAACCATCAAGAACTTACCAATGAGATCTACTCGAAGTTTCGTTTACATTTGTCCAAGAAGTTGATCTGACTCGTCTCCCTTTGTTGTACCACCATCTAGCCTTTGTAAAATCCGCTACTTCCACTTCAGTCAAACCCTCAATTTCGACCGAGCCCTTTGAGTCTACTTGAATATTGAGGTTGCTACAATAAAGTTAAGGCAAACAAGAGGCAATACTTAGAATAATGTTTTTGGTCTTAAAGATTAAACCTTTGGATAAGAAAGCTGGTTACTTACCATTTAGCTGAGGCTTCATATGACTTCAAAGACTGTCTTGCAGACAATAAATCTTTCAGGTTACCCATGTAGATTTCCAACATACTCATCGTAAAAGTCACGGAATGTGTATGATCCATTGAAGCTTCATTGAAAAGCTCTTTAATAGCTCTAGGAGCAAGACCTGGTTGCTCATTTGTGCCATCCTAAGGGAAAAAGTAGCTTAGAAGAAATGCAACTCTCCAATTGAAAATTTTCAATAGAATCTGAGTATCAAGAATGACTAACCATGGTGAAAGTCTTGCCAGTCCCCGTTTGACCATACGCCAAAACACATACATTGTGACCATCAAGGGCTGATCTAAGAACCGGTTTTACTTCTCCGAAAACGTCTTCTACAGAGTTTTATTTTTTTCAACCAGGAGAATGCCTCATTTACTCACAACTGGAAGGAAACAGAAAGCTAAGAAACCAAAAAAAGAAGAATCACTAAAGCCTAACAGCAAACTAACCTTGAGTTGCTGATTGATGAAAAACCTTATCAAACTCAAATTCCTTTCGACTTCCAGCGGATCTTATAACAACATTATCCGGTCCAAACGAAACAGGTTCCCTAATTGGTCTTCTTTCCGTCAATAGAAATGGCCTAACTCTACAAAACACACGTATACTTCCTGCAAATTGAAGCCATTCCTCAAGATAACAATCAAAACTAAACCCATAAAATAAACAAGTTTCAAAACTAAAAGATTTAACAACCTTTAGTGTCTATAATCTTATTCAGAACTTCCCTTCTCTTTTCCTCCAATGACTTCAGCTTTGACTTCAACTCCAAAACTTCCTCTGTGAAAAAACAACACAAAATTCATTTTTAAACCTCTTGATCAAATAGAAAACATACCAATGAACAAAAAACTGTGAGAAGAAGCAAAATCAAGAGATACCTTCAAGGTTTGAAATTGACTTTTCAAGCTGATTCCTTTCATGTTCAGGAACAACATTTACATCAGTGTAGACCAAAGGAACAACTGATTCAACAGATTCAGGAACTGACATTGAGCTAACTGGAGATTGAGGGATCAAGATCTCTTCTTTTTCAGCTGAAATTAACATTTTTTCTTAGCTGACTTGAACGAGATCCAATTTCTGACAAACAAGAAAAGAAAGTGGAAGTGGAATGGAGACAAAGACAACAAACTCAACGTATCCAATGTAAAAGAATGGTAGTTAGAAACAAAGGAAAAAGAACACTAAACTTATCATTATTATAATTATTGCAGAACTTTGAACAAGAAGACAACTTGAGTTGTCATAAAACCTCAGGAGACAGATAATTGATTAATGTTAGTTCACAGCAGAGAGAGAAAAGGAAAGGTTTTTTATTTGTCAGAAACAAGAAAACCCCTCGGAACAAGAAATTATTTAATACAAAAGAAAAGTGAAAATTGAAGATGAAGCAATCTATAAAAAAGAAGAACAAAAATCAAAACTTTGAAGAATCTCAATCTCATGAATCATCATTAGCCAGAGAAACAGAACCAGATTCGCTCATATGGGTTTAAAGCTATCTTCTCAGAGGCATAAGATCAAGCAAGTGAGAGACAACAACACATGTGTTTTTGATTTTTGACAAAAGGGTATGGATTTTGTCAAATGATTGAACAATTCTTTGTCTGGTGATGAAGAATGATGATGGTTCTTGATTTCACAAATGAAACATCTTTCTTCTGTCTCTTTCACTCTGTTTCATCTTCCAACTAAATAGTGGACCTTTTGAGCAATTCAGGATCAAAAGTAATCTAAAAGAAAAAAAAATGATTGAAGAGAATCAGGTTCATGGTAGGTCCATTCAAAGACAAAAAAGTTGGTGCCTTTTATCTTCTTCCTTAGTGCTTCACCGGTTTTGTCATAACCGGTTTTATTCAACAAAATCTGAAAATCAAATATAGCTTATGGAAACCGGTTCTAGATAAACCGACTTTACCGGTCCTAAAGATGAGAAAGGCTTCCCTTAATAGTGTTAGTATACTGTCTTTTTTATTCAGGTTGACTCAACAATTTACACAGGTTTTGTATTAACTAAATAAAATTCATGAATAATGAATCAGGAAAACATATGTATATATATATATTGCTTCTATATTAACTATCAATGGATTTTCTCTTCACAGTAATTTCACCTAAGATGATTCACATCATAAGAAAATCGCCCCTGAGTTGCTTTTGGAGCAGCTTTTTTGGTGGTCTTTGGTGGTACCCCAAAAACATTCCAAAGCCTAAGAGTCTCGTCTCCTGCTGCTGAAGCCACGGTATAACCATCCGGACTCTGTGCCATAAAAAGAACTCTTGATGTATGACCAGTGAGTTCAGCCATTTTCAACATAGATGGATACTTCCAAAGTGTAAGCTGGTTCTGTGTAAACCCATGTGAGCTAAGCAACTCTCTTTCACTTTTACTCCATAACAATGAACAAACTTGAGAGCCAGTTTCTATTGAATTCAAGCAAGCACCAGTGTGTGTATTCCAAAACTTAATAGTCCTATCTCCTACACCACCACCAGTTGCAAGCAAACTCGCTTGGAATGGGCACCACGCAAGAGCTTTCGTAGCAGCTGTATGTTCCTCAAACCTATGCAACCATTGCCTAGTTGAGTTTGAGGATGCGAGAGAACGATCCCATATATGTACTACATGGTCATTACCACCACTTGCTAATTGTTGTCCAGATTCTGACCACTTAAGACCACAAACCACATCAGTGTGACCCAAGTAACTTCCCACAATTGATGATCTGATCCTCACATCATTGTTGATGATTTTTCCATCCATTCCTCCAGTTGTTAGAATGTGATTGTTCCATGCCAATGATCCTACTCTTATCTGGTGACCACCTCTCAATGTTCTCAGTTGACTATTCGAAACAGAATCCCAAATCTGCACTTCAGAGTTGTCAAGACCAACGGCGAGAGTACAACCATCTTCCGTCCAGTTAATACTTGTAACAGGTCCATTCTCTTCATCAACAGTCATAAGCTTAGACGTAGAACCACTAGAAGCATCCCGCAAGTAAACAGAGTTTCCCAAAGCTATGGCTAAAACATTAGAACTACCCCAATCCAACAAGTTAAGGTAGAAGTCATCCACAATGCCAGGTGCATCCAAAATTTTCTCACTAATCTGAGGAATGTATCTCCGAGGCTTTACGGATTTAGGTTGTTGATGAGGAGAATCAGAATGATTACTAGAAAGCAGAGCTTTAGGTTTGTTTCTGAAAGCGAGAATCCGGGTTCGATTCTGATTCATAGTCTCAGCCAATTGATTCATGTAGGCTTTCCTTGATGCTGAAGTTACCTCATCTTTAGGTTTTCTTCCTTCGGTTAGTGCGTAGTGAGCATAGTCGAAATCCATGGCGGATCTATTTGGTATGAACCTGTCGAGGTTTTCCTTGGAAAGTTTCCTAGGAAGAAAGTGTTCTTCAAGTGGAAACCAAGCTTGTGCCATAGCCGTTATTGCTAAAGAGTCTCGTCGCTTATAATGTGAGAGAGAGTGAATGATGAAGATGGTGTGAATTGTGAAATTTGGGATTTATTTATAGAAACTAGTGGAGACAATTTAGGGTTTTTTTGGTTTCCTTAATTTATTGCATAGAAAATGTTAATTACGTACAACGGTTAGATTGATCATATTAGTAAAATGGAAATCGGATCTAATTCAGATTTTCTCTGTAATGTTAAAAACAAATAAATAATTTTTATTACAATTACTGAAAAATCCAACGGTTAGATTAATAAAAGTAAATCATCATCATTTAATGAAGTAAAGATACTCTTAAGAAAAAAGGAAATTAAAAAAAACACAGCTCAATTTTTCTCTCTTGGTTTAGTAAAATCAACATCAAATATGGAAATCGAATTTTACACAATTCTATATAAACCCTGAACCGTTCTCAGAGATTATTTTATTTTTGATACGACACTAAAGCTTCTTTTTTTCTCTGTGTAAACAACAATGGATTCTTCAATGTCGACGAAGAAGAAAACCAAACTCTCTCTGAGAAACCAAACTCGTTTCAAGAAATCATCTCTCTCTTCTTCTACTGCAAAAAGGACCACGAATTTGTCTATGAGGGAAGATACCATGTTTAAGAAAGCCTTCGAGCTTTCAACTCTGTGCGACATTGAAGTCTGTGTCATATATTACGGTCGTGACGGAGAACTCATCAAGACATGGCCGGAGGATCAATCCAAGGTTCGAGACATGGCTGAGAGATTTACCAAACTAAACGAGAGAGAGAGACGCAAGAAAAGCACAAACCTTTCTCTGTTGCTAAGGAAGAAGATCCTCGACGACAATAAGCTCTCGGAGAAAGTCTTAGAGATGAAGGATTCGTTAGAAAGTGGTCTACGGGTATTACAAGACAAGCTTCGGTTACTCCAACCCGAGAACCAGACCGAGTTAGGTCAGAGCCGTGTGGTTTCTTCCACAACGAATCCATTGTCTTCTCCTGAGGATCATCATCAACAACAATGGACAGAATCATTGGTGAATGGTGTGTCAAACACAGAGCAAGACCTATCGATGTCATCATTGAGTCAACATCAGAGCAAATTTTCAATCTTTCTCTATAACCATGACAATGGTAGCTTCTGTCAACTCCCTGACTCTGTTTCTAGCTTTGACCAATCGGCTTTACTTGGGGCACAAGGATCAGATCTAAGAAGTAACTTTGATCATCTTCCCATGGTGTTCCCTCCTCAGATGCAGACACAAACCCCACTTGTCCACTTTGATCAGTTTGCGCCATGGAATCAAGCACCATCTTTTACAGATCCAATGATGTTCTCTTATAATTAGGTCTTGTTGTTCCAAGATCTGATTCTTTGACTTGGTCCACGTTTTATTATGTTCTAATATGTATTTCCACTTTAGATTATGTGTTTAACTGTTTCTTCACGTACCTGATTAAGAGTTTGTAAGAAATCCATTGAATTGTATGCATGTTTTCCTAAGTATGAATGTTATTCTTTTCAAGTTTCTAAAAACAGTCTTGGCTTCTTTTATTTTTGTCTGAGTCTTATCTTTGAGTTTTAAAACCTGCTATATTAAGAGATTTAATATAATAGACATTGAATGTTAGATGTCCATAATTTATGGAGATAAGCCAACTAATTGAGTTATTGAGCTTGTCTCTGTGAAATCTTTGTGAATGGATTCAATGGAGGAAAGCTTTCCGAAAGAGAAGCGATTATGCGATGAATTCGAAAAGAGTAGTGCAAGAAAAGAGGATAGGGACAAGCAAATTACCTGACACAGTGACACTTTGATATGTCAGATGCTCTTGTTGCAGTTTCCGACGAAAGATGTTGTTAAATCTAGTGTTTTGTCTGTAAAACCTCTGGTTTTCTTGATTCCCTGGTTAGATTTATTCGCCAATGAAATTCACAGATTACAATGCCTTAGTGAGTTTTGTTGATAGGTTTTTAGATTCCTCTAGGGATTTATGCTTGTGAAAGTTCAAGTAAAGTATCCGGAGGAATGAGGATGGCCAGTCTTGTGGCACGCGGTGGATAGATTCTGTGGTTAAGCGTTAACTTAAGCACCTTGATGCCAAGTGTCATGTGAAACATTAGTTTTTAGAGGTGATTCCCCTAAGTATTAGTATATGTTAGACATTGGTGTACTTAAGACTCCATCAGGTTTTGATGCGTGATTTCGAGCTAGTCAGTTTCTTTACCTTGTCTCAGGTTCATGAGTTTAGAAAATAATATATATGCCAGTGTGAAGCTATACAGTTGCTTATCTCGTCTTGCCCGGTTCTTGAAGATTTGAGCATTGCAAGAAGTTTCAATGATAATGTTAAGGTTTTAGGAGTGCACTTCTCAGTCATTAACCAGTCTCAGTGTTGAGTTTTATGAAATGGAAGCTGGTGCTCTTGTTTTTGAGCATGAAGGCACAGAGTTTTTGATTGATGCCCCTATGCTCAAGTATCTGAATTTTGAAGATGATCTAACAGAGAGAGTAAAATCATAAGCAATACAAGTTCTTATTTTAACCAAAATGTATGTAGTTGGTACCCTAATCTGGTTTTTTTTTTTTTATCGTTGGCTTACTGAGGCAAACTTTGATCCGTAATTATTAGCCGGATTATCGAGAGTTAATGATCCCTTGGCATACTGCAGTCTGCAGAGGTATATGTCTTACCAGATTCATATATACAAAAATGTTCTTTTCATGACAGTTTAGATTCTTATGCTCATTATGTCGACTAGTACCTCTATCATAACATGAAAACAGAACCGCTTACCGCAGTTTTGCAACTTTACATGTCTACAAGTGTCGTTTTGTCTATCCTACCTGGAAATGCTACCTAGACTTCTTGAGAGCTTTCAGAATCTAAAATGACTCGTCATAGTGGTGCCTGGTGACTTGTACAAACCCGGAGAGTTTAACATAAGAAACATGTTGCTTCTTTCTTCTATGTAATTAATCTTTGTGTGAGTGTTTTCTATAACATGATTTGGATATGACCACAGAAAGTGAAAAGCCAACACTCTCATCATTCGTGCGTGCCTCGGTGTTTTGTGTCACCGCTCGAGTTTGTAGAAATAAAATGCAGATTTCCAGCTGAAATTGGAAGCGGCCCGGTACATTGTTGAGAACTCAGTAGTTCTCAAGAAACTAGTTTTGCATTTGAATTGCTTCATGTTTGAACAAGGGTGTCTTCTTGCATTGCCTAGACGATTGAGACTAACATTCATACCGTGTGCCTCACGTTGAATTTGGATTTTTGTTTTGTTTGAATTTCTATGATGATGTCTTTGTGAGGTTTGTCCATAGTTTAATTTAAGCTTGAACAGTGAACCAAACTTTGACTTATTGTTGTTGCCCCTTGACCAAGGTAATAACCAAATTTGGGACTATTTATTAAGAAAAAAAATAGTGGAGGCAATTTAGTGTTTTTTGCTGACCTTAACTAATTATTATTTATAAGTAATTCTATATTAAAAATGTTTACTACAACGGTTATATTGATATTAATTAGTAAATGGAAATCGGATCTAATTAAGATTTCCCTCATAGACAACAAACAAAAAAGGAAATTCATTACTTAAAAATCCCAACGGTTAGATCAATTAATGAAGCAAAGATACTCTTTAAGAAAAAGGAAATAAAACCCACAGCTCAGTTTTCGTTCCCTCTTGGTTTAGTGAAATCAATATCAAATATGGAAATCAAATTTTTACAATTCTATATAACCCCAAACCTAAAGCTTCTTTTTTTTCTTTGTGTAAACAACAATGGATTCTTCAATGTCGACGAAGAAGAAAACCAAATTGTCTCTGAGAAACCAAACTCGTTTCAAGAAATCATCTCTCTCTTCTTCTACTGCAAAAAAGACCACGAACTTGTCTATGAGGGAAGATACCATGTTTAAGAAAGCCTTCGAGCTTTCAACTCTGTGTGATATCGAAGTCTGTGTCATATATTACGGTCGTGACGGAGAACTCATCAAGACATGGCCGGAAGATAAATCTAAGGTTCGAGACATGGCTGAGAGATTTACCAAACTAAACGATAGAGAGAGACGCAAGAAAAGCACAAACCTTTCTCTGTTGCTAAGGAAGAAGATCCTCGACGACGATAAGCTCTCGGAGAAAGTTTTAGAGATGAAGGATTCGTTAGAAAGTCGTCTACGGGTATTACAAGATAAGCTTCTGTTACTTCAACCCGAGAACCAGACCGAGTTAGGTCAGAGCCGTGCGGTTTCTTCCACAACGTATCTATTGTCTTCTTCTTTGCTAATTGAGGATCATCATCAATCATTGGTGAATGGTGTGTCAAACACAGAGCAAGACCTATCGATGTCATCATTGAGTCAACATCAGAGCAAATTTTCAATCTTTCTCTATAACCATGACAATGGTAGCTTCTGTCAACTCCCTGACTCTGTTTCTAGCTTTGACCAATCGGCTTTACTTGGGGCACAAGGATCAGATCTAAGAAGTAACTTTGATCATCTTCCCATGGTGTTTCCTCCTCAGATGCAGACACAAACCCCACTTGTCCACTTTGATCACTTTGACAGATCCAATGATGTTCTCTTATAATTAGGTCTTGTTGTTCCAAGATCTGATTCTTGACTTGGTCCACGTTTTATTATGTTCTAATTTGTATTCTCACTTTAGATTATGTGTTTAACTGTTTCTTCTCGTACCTGATTAAGAGTTTGTAAGAAATCCATTGAATTGTATGCATATTTTCCTAAGTATGAATGCTATTCTTTTCAAGTTTCTAAAAACAGTCTTGGCTTCTTCTATTTTTGTCTGAGTCTTATATTTGAGTTTTAAAACCTGCTATAGTCATAGTTTTAATATACTATTGACATTGAATGTTAGATGTCCATAATATATGCAGATAAGCCAACTAATTTGGTAATTGAGCTTGTCTCTGTGAAATCTTTGGTTCAATTTTGTGAATGGATTATATGGAGGAAAGCTTTCCGAAAGAGAAGCGATTATGCGATGAATTCGAAAACTGTAGTGCAAGAAAAGAGGATAGGGACAAGCAAATTACCTGACACTTTGATATGTCAAATGCTCTTGTTGCAGTTTCCGACGAAAGATGTTGTTAAATCTAGTGTTTTGTCCAAGTGGTGTAAGAGTTTTTTTTATTCCATGGTTAGATCTATTCGCCAATGAATTCACAGATTGCAATGCCTTAGTGAGTTTTGTTGATAGGTTTTTAGATTCCTCTAGGGATTTATGCTTGTGAAAGTTTAAGTAAAGTATCCGGAGGAATGAGGATGGTCTTATGGCACGCGGTGGATAGATTCTGTGGTTAAGCGTTAACTTAAGCACCTTGATGCTACGTGTCATGTGAAACATTAGTTTTTAGACGACATTGGTGTACTTAAGACTCCATCAGGTTTTGATGCGTGATTTCTAGTCAGTTTCTTTACCTTGTCTCAGGTTCATGCATTTAGAAAATAATATATATGCCAGTGATGAAGCTATACAGTTGCTTATCTCGTCTTGCCCGGTTCTTGAAGATTTGAGCATTGCAAGAAGTTTCAATGATAATGTTAAGGTTTTAGGAGTGCACTTCTCAGTCATTAACCAGTCTCAGTGTTGAGTTTTATGAAATGGAAGCTGGTGCTCTTGTTTTTGAGCATGAAGGCACAGAGTTTTTGATTGATGCCCCTATGCTCAAGTATCTGAATTTTGAATATGATCTAACAGAAAGAGTAAAATCATAAGCAATACAAGTTCTTAATTTAACCAAATTGTATGTAGTTGGTACCCTAATCTGGTTTTTTTTTTTATATCGTTCGCTTATTGAGGCAAACTTTTATCCGTAATTATTAGCCGGATTATCGAGAGTTAATGATCCCTTGGCATACTGCAGTCTGCAGAGGTATATGTCTTACCAGATTCATATATATAAAATGTTCTTTTCATGACAGTTTAGATTCTTATGCTCATTATGTTGACTAGTACCTCTATCATAACATGAAAACAGAACCGCTTACCGCAGTTTTGCAACTTTACATGTCTACAAGTGTCGTTTTGTCTATCCTACCTGGAAATGCTACCTAGACTTCTTGAGAGCTTTCAGAATCTAAAATGACTCGTCATAGTGCATAAACCCCGAGAGTTTAACATAAGAAACATGTTGTTTCTCTCTTCTATGTTATTAATCTTTGTGTGAGTGTTTTCTATAACATGATTTGGATATGACCACAGAAAATGAAAAGCCAACACTCTCATCATTCGTGCCTCGGTGTTTTGTGTCACCGCTCGAGTTTGTAGAGATAAAAAGCAGATTCCCAGCTAAAATTGGAAGCGGCCCGGTACATTGTTGAGAATTCAGTAGTTCTCAAGTAACTAGTTTTTGCATTTGAATTGTTCCATGTTTGAAAAGGGTGTCTTCTTGAATTGCATAGACGATTGAGACTAACATTCATACCGTGTTCCTTTACGTTGAATTTGGATTTTTGTTTTGTTTGAATTTCTATTATGATGTCTTTGTGAGGTTTTGTCCATAGTTTAATTTAAGCTTGAACAGTGAACCAAACTTTGACTTATTGTTGTTGCCCCTTGACCAAGGTAATAACCAAATTTTGGATTTGTCGGCACCAACAACAACAGTCAGGTGGTTAGTTTTATTGTCGTTTTTTTTCCCTAATTGTCTTTGCTCTTTTTACCTATCCAGAAGATATATTGATGAAATATAAAGTTAAAACTAAAATTTGGGACTATTTATTAAAAAAATAGTGGAGGCAAACTAGTGTTTTTTGCTGACCTTAATTAATTATTATTTATAAGTAATTCTATATTCAAAATGTTTACTACAACGGTTATATTGATATTAATTAGTAAATGGAAATCGCCAAATCGGATCTAATTAAGATTTCCCTCATAGACAACAAACAGAAAAAAGGAAATTCATTACTTAAAAAAATCCCAACGGTTAGATTAATAAGAGTATAGCAAAGATACTCTTAAGAAAAAAAAAGGAAATAAAACCCACAGAGCTCAGTTTCTTTCCCTCTTGGTTTAGTGAAATCAATATATCAAATATGGAAATCAAATTTTTACAATTCTATATATCAACCCTGAACCACTTAGTATCCCAATTCGCAAGAGTTTTTTTCTCTTTGATAAAAAACTAAAGCTTCTTTTTTTCTTTGTGTAATTGTGTAAACAACAATGGATTCTTCAATGTCGACGAAGAAGAAAACCAAATTGTCTCTGAGAAACCAAACTTGTTTCAAGAAATCGTCTCTCTATTCCACTGCTAAAAAGACCACGAACTTGTCTATGAGAGAAGAGACCATGTTTAAGAAAGCCTTCGAGCTTTCAACTCTGTGTGATATCGAAGTCTGTGTCATATATTACGGTCGTGATGGAGAACTCATCAAGACATGGCCGGAAGATAAATCTAAGGTTCGAGACATGGCTGAGAGATATACCAAACTAAACGAGAGAGAGAGACGCAAGAAAAGCACAAACCTTTCTCTGTTGCTAAGGAAGAAGATCCTCGACGACAATAAGCTCTCGGAGAAAGTTTTAGAGATGAAGAATTCGTTAGAAAGTGGTCTACGGGTATTACAAGACAAGCTTAAGTTACTCCAACCAGAGAACCTAGGTCAGAGCCGTGTGGTTTCTTCCACAACGAATCCGTTATCTTCTCCTGAGGATCATCATCAACAATGGACAGAACCATTGGTGAATGGTGTGTCAAACACAGAGCAAGAGCTATCGACGTCATCATTGAGTCAACATCAGAGCAAAATTTCAGTCTTTCTATATAACCATGACAATGGTAGCTTCTATCAAGTCCCTGACTCTGTTTCTAGCTTTGACCAATCGACGAGTACGGCTTTACTTGGGGCACAAGGAACTGATCTAAGAAGTAACAGCTGCAACAACTTTGATCTTCCCATGGTGTTTCCTCCTCAGATGCAGACACAAACCCCACTTGTCCACTTTGAGCAGTTTGCACCATGGAATCAAGCACCTTCGTTTGCAGATCCAATGATGTTCTCTTATAATTAGGTCTTGTTGTTCCAAGATCTGATTCTTTGACTTGGTCCACGTTTTATTACGTTCTAATATGTAATCTGATTCTTTGACTTGGTCCACGTTTTATTACGTTCTAATATGTATTCTCACTTAAGATTATGTGTTTAACTGTTTCTTCTCGTACCTGATTAAGAGTTTGTAAGAAATCCATTGAATTGTATGCATGTATGAATCGTAACTGTTTCTTTTCAAGTGTCTAAAAACAGTCTTGCCTTCTTCTATTTTTGTCTGAGTCTTATATTTGAGTTTTAAAACCTGCTATAGACTATAGTCATAGTTTTAATATACTATTGACATTGAATGTTAGATGTCCATAATATATGCAGATAAGCCAACTAATTGAGTAATTGAGCTTGTCTCTGTGAAATCTTTGGTTCCATTTTGTGAATGGATTAAATGGCGGAATGCTTTCCGAAAGAGAAGCGATTATGCAATGAATATCGAAAACTGTAGTGCAAGAAAAGAGGATAGGGACAAGCAAATTACCTGACACTTTGAAATGTCAGGTGCTCTTGTTGCAGTTTCCGACGAAAGATGTTAAATCTAGTGTTTTGTCCAAGTGGTGTAAAACCTCTGGTTTTTTTATTCCCTGGTTAGATTTATTCGCCAGTGAATTCACAGATTACAATGCCTTAGCTAGTGAGTTTTGTTGATAGGTTATTAGATTCCTCTAGGGATCTATGCTTGTGAAAGTTCAAGTAAAGTATCCGGAGGAATGAGGATGGCCAGTCTTGTGGCACGCGGTGGATAGATTATGTGGTTAAGCGTTAACTTAAGCACCTTGATGCTAAGTGTCATGTGAAACATTAGTTTTTAGAGGTGATTCCCTTAAGTCTTTATATATGTTATACATTGGTGTACTTAAGACTCCATCAGGTCTTGATTTCGAGTCAGTTTCTTTACCTTGTCTCAGGTTCATGCGTTTAGAAAATAATATATATGCCAATGATGAAGCTATACAGTTGCTTATCTCGTCTTGCCCGGTTCTTGAAGATTTGAGCATTTCAAGAAGTCTCAATGATAATGTTAAGGTTTTAGGAGTGCACTTCTCAGTCATTAACCTGTCTCAGTGTTGAGTTTAGATTCTTAATTATGCTCATTATGTTGATTAGTACCTCTATCATAACATGAAAACAGAACCACTACCGCAGTTTTGCAACTTTACATGTCTACAAGTGACGTTTTGTCTATCCTAACCTGGAAATGCTGTTTAGACTTCTGAGAGCTTTCAGAATCTAAAATGACTCGTCATAGTGGTGGTGACTTGCACAAACCCCGAGAGTTTAACATAAGAAACATGTTGTTTCTTTCTTCTATGTTATTAATCTTCGTGTGAGTGTTTTCTATAACATGATTTGGATATGACCACAGAAAGTGAAAAGCCAAGTACACTCTCATCATTCGTGCGTGCCTCGGTGTTTTGTGTCACCGCTCGAGTTTGTAGAAATAAAAAGCAGATTTCCAGCTGAATTTGGAAGCGGCCCGGTACATTGTTGAGAACTCAGTAGTTCTCAAGAAACTAGTTTTGCATGTTTGAACAAGGGTGTCTTCTTGCATTGCCTATACGATTGAGACTAACATTCGTACCGTGTTCCTTACGTTGAATTTGGATTTTTGTTTTGTTTGAATTTCTATGATCTTGGTGAGGTTTGTCCATAGTTTAATTTAAGCTTGAACAGTGAACTATACTTTTACTTATTGTTGTTGCCCCTTGACCAAGGTAATAACGATGCCCCTTGACCAAGGTAATAACCAAATTTTGATTTGCCGGCACCAACAACAGTCAGGTGGTTAGTTTTATTGTGGGTTTTTTTCCCTAATTGTCTTTGCTCTTTTTACTTATCCAGAAGATATATTGATGAAATATAAAGTTAAAACTAAAATTTGGGACTATTTATTTAAAAAATAGTGGATGCAATTTATTAGTGTTTTTTGCTGACCTTAACTAATTATTATTTATAAGTAATTGTATATTAAAAATGTTTACTACAACGGTTATATTGATATTAATTAGTAAATGGAAATCAGATCTAATTAAGATTTCCCTCATAGACAACAAACAGAAAAAGGAAATTCATTACTTAAAAATCCCAACGGTTAGATAAATAAAAGTAAATCATCATCAATTAATGAAGCAAAGATACTCTAAAGAAAAAAAGGAAATTAAAACCACAGCTCAGTTTCTTTCCCTCTTGGTTTAGTGGAATCAATATCAAAATATGGAAATCAAATTTTTACAATTCTATATATCGACCCTGAACCACTTAGTATCCCAATTCTCAGAGTTTTTTTTTCTCTTTGATAAGAAACTAAAGCTTCTTTTTTTCTTTGTGTAAAAAACAATGGATTCTTCAATGTTGACGAAGAAGAAAACCAAATTGTCTCTGAGAAACCAAACTTGTTTCAAGAAATCGTCTCTCTATTCCACTGCTAAAAAGACCACGAACTTGTCTATGAGAGAAGAGACCATGTTTAAGAAAGCCTTCGAGCTTTCAACTCTGTGCGACATCGAAGTCTGTGTCATATATTATGGTCGTGACGGAGAACTCATCAAGACATGGCCGGAGGATCGGTCCAAGGTTCGAGACATGGCTGAGAGATTTACCAAACTAAATGAGAGAGAAAGACGCAAGAAAAGCACAAACCTTTCTCTGTTGCTAAGGAAGAAGATCCTCGACGACAATAAGCTCTCGGAGAAAGTGTTAGAGATGAAGGATTCGTTAGAAAGTGGTCTACGGGTATTACAAGACAAGCTTCGGTTACTCCAACCCGAGAACCTAGGTCAGAGCCGTGTGGTTTCTTCCACAACGAATCCGTTATCTTCTCCTGAGGATCATCATCAACAATGGACAGAACCATTGGTGAATGGTGTGTCAAACACAGAGCAAGAGCTATCGACGTCATCATTGAGTCAACATGAGAGCAAATTTTCAGTCTTTCTCTATAACCATGACAACGGTAGCTTCTATCAAGTCCCAGACTCTGTTTCTAGCTTTAACCAATCTTTGCTTGGGGCACAAGGATCTGGTCTAAGAAGTAACTTTGATCTTCCCATGGTGTTTCCTCCTCAGATGCAGACACAAGCTCCACCACTTGTCCACTTTGATCAGTTTGCGCCATGGAATCAAGCACCTTAAGTTTGCAGATCCTATGATGTTCTTTTATACTTAGGTCTTGTTGTTCCAAGTTCTGATCTTTGACTTGGTCCACGTTTTATTTTGTTCTAATATGTATTCTCACTTTAGATTATGAGTTTTAACTGTTTCTTCTCGTATCTGATTAAGAGTTTGTAAGAAATCCATTGAATTGTATGTTTTTTCTAAGTATGAATGCTATATTTCCAAGTTTCTAAAATCAGTCTTGGCTTCTTCTATTTGTCTGAGTCTTAAATTTTGAGTTTGAACACCTGCTACATTCAGAGGTTTAATATACAATAGACATTTAATACAAGATGTCCATAATTTATGCAGATAAGCCAACTAATTGATAATTGAGTAATTAAGCTTGTCTCTTCGGTTCAATTTTGTCAATGGATTCAATGAGGAAAGTTTTTGAAAGAGAAATGATTATGCAATGAACTCCAAAAATGTAGTGCAAGACAAGAGGATATGATAAGCAAATTACACTTTGATGTATTAGATGCCGTTAAAAGTAGTGTTTTGTCCAAGTCTCCAAAAGGTGGAAAAACTCTTGCTTTGTTGGATTTAGATGCCAAATGAATTTTCAGATTACAATGCCTTAGTGAGTTTCTCGGAGTCCTGAGTCACGGGAAGTGGCATGAATGTGGTGCAATCAACAAGGGTCAGATTATCTAGATGATGTTAAAAGCCTCTAGTGACTTTGTATGATAAGCATCTTGATTGTTTCCTGAAACAATAAGCATCTTGTGTTGTATTTAGAACCACCAGAAACCTTATATAAAAGCTCGAAAAGGCTCTGAGGGCATGACCTTGCACCGAATCCACCATTTGTGTTACTTGGGACAGATGCAACAACATAAGAATCATTGACCAGCTTCCATGTGACAATTTAAAAGGGCAAGAGTGACATTCATAAACGTTCTCAGCTTTTGGATGAGAGCTGTCCTCAGCAAAGAAATGGCAAACTTTTTTATTCATCTCAATCCAACTGCAGCACGGTTTCTTTCTGCTTTCATTTTCAATCTGACTCGCCTTGCTGTGGCCCATGACTCACCAGAAGCACACAAAATGAACAAAACAGTGTAGGTTGATGCATCATCTGGATATTTCTCCACAAGCAATCTTGCGAGTCTATTTCCCAATGAATGATCCTAGTGCAGGTAACACGCAGAGAAGAGAGTACTTCAAGCAACCGACCTGCTCGGCCAAAAATGTCAATGAAGCACGAGTAGTGTTCAATACAAGGCTTGATTCCATATGTCGATCTCATTTGACTGAAAAACTTGAAATCTTCATCAATTAACCCAGCATGACTACACGCTGACAATACAACAAGAGTAGTAACCACATCAGGTTTTACACCAAATTTCTGCATTTCATCAAAATGGTAAAGTGCTTCTGTTGGTTGACCATGCGACGACACAACATCCTTCTTTGGTATACTGTTGAAAATTCAAGATGCATACTCAACAGCAACTCATCAGTTTCGAGCCTGCTCTCGCTAATGGAAAAAGTGAATCCGCTTGCCTATCTGTAACGCAGTTAGGTGCAAACAAGCAGGAAAAACACTTGTGAAAGTTTCTGGCTTCACCCCAACGCTCACCATTTGGTCAGACACTTGAACAGACTTGAAATTTCAGCTTAGTCATACTAATAACTAACCTCTAATCCTAAAAGCCAAAGTAAGCTGCATAAACCAAAGTCACCACAAGCACAGTCACCATTGAAAATCAGCAGAATTTACAAACTCAATTCCAAAACGCTACATAGCCTAAATGGTGGTGGATGAAACAAATTGAACTATGAGGTAAATAAACATATATAGTTCTAACATTCACAGAGACATAAGCCAATGATAATTATGATGCAAAACGAATCAATTAGGAAGAAAGAAGCATATTTACAAGAACAAATACGGTTTGAGAATCTCAAATCTAGCAAAAGCAAACCCTAGAGACAGATCATAAAGAGGATAAGGAATCAAAAATCTTAAGGCTGAGTCTTCTCCTCTAAATCATCGTCTTTCTTGGTTGATTTAGTTCCATTGGCTTTGAATCGAACCTCCGCAGATTCAATCACACGCTCGCTAATCTCATTGGTATAGGCCTCAAGATTCTTAATCCCATCTCTCGATACGAAGCGTGATGCGATGTTGTAAGCTTCCTCCTCTATAGATTTCGCGACGGCGGAGGCTTCCTCAGGTTTAATCGTTCCGTATTTGTAGGAGAGGAACGAGTCTGTGGATAATTTCTTGATCAAGCTATTCAAGATGCGCTCGCGACTATTCTGACTCGGTGGCCAAACGCTGTACACGATTCCTCCAGATTTCGCTTCTTTTGTCAGATCTTCGACTTCTGATGTTGCGTCAGATCTGCGTCTTTTGAGGCAACTTGTTTCGTCTGATCTGCTTCTTTTGGAGCTTTCTGATTGTGGCTGCGGCGTTGAGACGGTGGTGTTGGTTGTATCGGCGGTTTCTGCCATTTTTTCAGTTGAAATTAGGGTTTCTGAAGACAGTTTTTTTGCGATACAAGGAAAAGATCAGTTTTAGCGTCGGAAGAATTCTAGAAATTTGGTGCTATATGTATCCAGATTACATATTGACAAAAAAATCCATAAATAGCGAATCCAAATATAATATTTTTCTTTTATTTATAAGTTTTTAAGTTGAACAAATATTGTTACACAAAAATTTATGATATTATTAGGAAAACTAGGGATTGACCCGCGGTACACCGCGGGACGATATTTTTATTAAAAAAATATTATATTTTTGTTTGAATTTTTTTTAATTTTTGTTACATATATATATATAACCCATTTACATGTGTAACTATAATGTATATATAGTGTTCATTGTACGATAAGTATATTGCATGTTTGACTAATTCTAATTATACAGAAAAATGAGAAGACAATTTACTAAACAACAATGTACCGCCATTCTTTTTTTTTTTTTTTGTGTGTTTTTCCTCTGTTACATCGTGAGAGATTATATAGGTATCTTGTGGGATTTAAAATGGGAAAAATGTCATTTAATCCTCCAACTTTCAAATTGTGGCCATTTGAGACACCAACTTCATATATGACCATTTAAAACATGAACTAAACGTTGACTAACGTTTGAGACATGAAAATTCGTTGACCAGGCCAAAATAGACATGCCGTTATCAGTCGTTAACGGAACGTCTAACGTCCGTTATCCTCCGTTAACGACTCTGTTAGTCAACTTTCAAATTGTAGCCATTTTAAACATGAACTAAACGTTGACTAACATTTAATACATGAGAATTCGTTGACCAGGCCAAAATAGACATGCTATCATCAGTCGCTAAAAAAACCTATAACATCCGTTAACGACTCTGTTAGTATGCCCAAAACCTCAAATCTATTTCTACAATAGCCCAATCAATACAAACAATCCTATTATCTCTATCTCTTCCAATTGCAGCTAGAAAGTGATCTTTTATTTTCTATTTCGGAAAAGCTTCATTTAGTCCTATGATGGGTCTATAAGTTTGCTTCCATCATTTTTTTTAAGATTAAAAACAGATATATAAACGAAAAACCTATGTTTGCTTCCAATTATTGGTTATACGATTATCTCTATATCAAACTATGTCTTTGGGTTCTGCTTTAAACAAACTTTTTGATTTGGAGATTTCATTTGGGAAAAATCATGATTTCTTCTTGAGTATCCTCAAAACGACGTCGTTTTGGGCATACTAACAGAGTCGTTAACGAGTAATGACGGATGTTATAGGTTCTTTTAGCGACTGATGATAGCATGTCTATTTTGGCCTGGTCAACGAATTCTCATGTATCAAATGTTAGTCAACGTTTAGTTCATGTTTTAAATGGCCATAGATAAAGTTGATGTTTAAAATGGCAACAATTTGAAAGTTGACTAACAGAGTCGTTAACGGAGGATAACGGGCGTTAGACGTTCCGTTAACGACTGATAACGGCATGTCTATTTTGGCCTGGTCAACGAATTTTCATGTCTCAAACGTTAGTCAACGTTTAGTTCATGTTTTAAATGGCCACATATGAAGTTGGTGTCTCAAATGGCCACAATTTGAAAGTTGGGGGATTAAATGACATTTTTCCCGATTTAAAATCCTTTTTTGTTTAGGGTTTTGTTTTATCTACAACTTCATGTTATTTTGGTTCGGAATTAGTTTGGTTTGGATTATCTTCTTTTTTAAAAAAAATTCATATTAATGAACCTAAATACTTTTAGTAATATACTACACTTATTTTTGTACATACATAATTCAGTGATAATGGATTATGATGGTTTATTAATGAAACTTATATTTTGAAGAAACCCGAGGACGAAATCCTTAACAACAGAGTGGCTCTCTGTCCTCGATGCTTACAGATTACTCCCGGACAAGTGTATCAACGATCCATGGTGGATCTTCGGTGCAAATTTCACATGGAAGGCCAAAACATCATTGCTCATTCCTTGTTGGGCAAAGACCTCGGCTTGTAACTGACTCTTTAGTCAGGTTTTACGTTGGAGATAGTCATGTTCTTAGAGTCCTGAACCACGAGAAGCAGCACGAATGTGGAGCAATCGACAACGGTCAGATTAGGTAGATGATGTTGATAGCCTTTGAGTTTAGGTTGAGCTTTGAAAGACTTGACTGTGGAACATGCTTCTTGATGGTTTCCTGAGACAATAAGCAACCTTATATAAAAGCTGGAAACGGCTCTTGAGTGCATGACTTTGCATTGAATCCACCATTTGTGTTACTTGGACATTAGCCTGAGATGCTGTCTTCTTGGGACAGATAAGAATCACTGACCAGCTTCCATGTGACCACTTAAAAGAGCAAGACATTCATAAACATTCTCAGCTTGTGGATGAGACCTGTCCTCAGCAAAGAAATGGCACACTTTTTCATTCATCTCAATCCAACTGCAGCCCGGTTTCTTCCTCATTCCCACTTCTTTCATTTTCAATCTTACTCGCCTTGCTGCATCCCATGACTCGCCAGAAGCATACAAATTGAACAAAACAGTGTAGGTTGATGCATCATCTGGATATTTCTCCACAAGTAATTTTGCGATTGTATTTCCCAACAACTGATCCCGATGCAAGCAACAAGCAGAGAAGAGAGTACTGAGAAGCTCTGCATTGTCTCTTGTCTCTGGTTTTTGTTGAAGAATTCCATAAGCTTCAAGCAACCGACCTGCTCGGCCAAGAATGTCAATCAAGCACGAGTAATGTTCAATACTAGGCTCGATTCCGTACTTCGATCTCATTTGACTGAAATACTTCACACCTTCATCAATTAACCCAGCATGACCACAAGATGACAATACAGCAAGAAAAGTAACCCCATCAGGTTTTACACCAAACTTCTGCATATCATCAAAATGGTAAAGCGCTTCTTTGGGTTGACCATGAGATCCGTACGCAGAGATCATTACTGTCCATGAAACAACATCCTTCTTTGGTATACTGTTGAAAATTCTAGAAGCCTCTTTTACATTGCCGCATTTAGAATACATGTCAAGAAGTGCACTCATCAGCAACTCGTCTGTTTCGAGCCTGCTCTCGCTAATGGACAAATGAATCTGTTTGCCTTTCTCTAACGCAGCCAGTTGCGAACAAGCAGGTAAAACACTTGTGAAAGTTACCACGTCTGGCTTCACTCCAACACTCACCATTTGGTCATACAATTCAACAGCCTTAAACCAATTACCTACACAGACATAACCAGAAATCATAACATTCCATGACGCAGCAACGTCCTTCTGTGTCTTTGAAAAGACGGTTTCAGCCAACTTTACTTCACCACACTTGAAGTAGAGATCAATCAGAGAACAGTTTATATAGATATCTGCATCAACAACATTCCTAATCACATAACCGTGTACGAATTTTCCATGTAATAGATTCCGTGAGCGAGAGCAAGCCATCAAAATACTGGTCAAGGTTGTCTGACTCGGCCGAGTTCCTTCTATGATCATTCTATAAAAAAGCTCAACACATGACTTACTATCTCCTTTAGCAACATAACCTCTGATCATAGAATTCCAAGCAACCAAACTCTTTCTACGCATTTGCTGAAAAACCTCTCTAGCCATCTCCAAGCAGTCACATCTCCCATACATATCAACAAGGGCAGAGTTTACATACTCATCTAACTCAAACCATTTCTTAACATAGTTTCTATGGATCTCCTTCCCTCTCTCCAAACACAACAGCCTCGAACACGCCGATATAGCTACCGTCAATGAAACTGAATTTGGTTCAAAACCAGAACTTTCCATTCTTCCAAATAACTCCAAAGCCTTCTCAGCATCCCCGCGTTGATAAAAACTTGAAATAACCGTGTTCCAAGACGCAACATCTCTCTCAGGCATTTCATCGAACACTTGTACTGAATTCTCAAACAAGTTAAACTTTGCATACATACCAACCAAAGAACTCGCCACAACCACATCACAAACATGCCCACTCTTCACTACAACAGTATGAATCATCCTACCAAGAAACTCTCTACCCAACGCACCATAAGCCTTAATCACATTCGGGTAAGTAAACGAATCAGGGACACAAATTGGGCAATTCAACAACCTCTTGAAAACCTCAAGAGTGTCATGAAACATTGAGTTCTTTGAATAACCAGACACGAGAGAGTTCCATATGTAAACATCTGATCGTATATCGATGTTTTCGAAGACGAGTCTTGCAGAGCAATGGTCTTTACAAGCGAAGTAGACATTGATGAGACTTTTGCATAAAACGACGTCGCTACGTAACCCCACCGTGAGTATTCTCTGGTGAACAAGCTTGGCTTGTCTTAGAGACTTGGTATTGGTACATTCTCGCAATAAAGTTAACAACTTTGAAGATTCCATTTCAAGGTTTCGTTTTTAACGATCACATTTTTGTTTCCAGAGATTGAAGGCATGATTCAATCGTACGGTGCCGTTTTAAATTTATGGGCCGAGTTTAATTAGGCCCAAAATGGTTGTTAGAAACAAAACAGCGGTGCAATTTTAAACCCTAGGTAACAAAGTTACGAAAACACGCCGTTCGCAATAAAAACGCAGCGTTTTGAGAATCTTCTTTAACAACTATAAAAAGTATCTTAAACCCTAGCAAACTCGCGGCTCCTGATTTTAGCTCTCTCTAACGCTGCAGCTGTGCGTAAACCCTTCGAGGTACTGAATCTTTCTCGCCCTCTCTCTATCTCCATTGTTACTGCAACGAAGAAGCTTCCAAGTTATAGATTTTGACTAAGTATAGTTCTGTTCTTTTGTCGGATTTTGAACAGAGTATTGGTCTTAACTTGTATTCTGTTTCTTGTTTTTTCATGGAGATTGTGAAATAGGAAAAAGGTTTTGTCTTGAATATTGTTCTTAACTAGTTTAGTGGCTTTAGCTCCCAAAAAAAAGATAACTTTTTGTAGTTGATTTAAGGGTTTCTCATAATCTTGTTTTTTTTTGTTCAGGTACTGATTTGAGAGCTTGTGAAAATGCACATACTGTTTGAGACGCCAGGTGGTTTTGCAATCTTTAAAGTATTAGATGAAGGAAAGCTCTCTAATGTTGAGGTTATTACTTTTAATCATTCTCTTAGTTTCATTTATCTTAACCTTGTCTATGTGTGTGTGTTTTTTTAATTCTAAGTAATGTCAAATTTGTGATTGTAGGATATCGGTAATGAGTTCTTGACCGCAAAGTCAGCCCGAAAGGTGATTTCTTCTGTTCTATACATAGTTCAAATTTTGTTTCTGGGTAATAATTTGTTTCTCATAGTTTTTTTTTTGTTGTTGTTACAGATGGTTAAGCTAGTAGCTTTTGACAAGTTTGACAACACAGCTGAAGCTCTTGAAGCGGTTGCTAAATTGCTTGAGGGAACTCCAAGCAAGGGTCTACGCAAGTTCTTGAAAGCTAACTGTGTTGGTGAAACATTGGCTGTTGCTGATTCAAAGCTTGGAAATATCATCAAGGAGAAACTGGTGTGTGTTTTGTTCCGATACGCTTGTTTATTTCTGAATATGGGTTGTTTCTTACGGATTTGCTTCACTCTTGTAGAAAATAGACTGTGTTCACAACAATGCTGTTATGGAGCTGTTAAGAGGTGTTAGAAGCCAGTTAAGTGAACTTATAACTGGATTGGGGGATAAAGATCTAGCTCCAATGAGCTTGGGATTGTCTCACAGCCTTGCCAGATATAAACTAAAGTTCAGTACCGATAAGGTAGTCATTTGATTTATGTTTGTTTCTATTTAGTTCTCTGAATTATGATTGTTGAGTTAGCTAAATATATCATGGAACTTTTGGCATGACTTTTTGTATTTACTGAATTGTCATTGAGTTTCTCTGTATTTTCTCTTGCATCTCTGTATAATTTAGTTTTTTGTTAGGTGGATACTATGATAATCCAAGCTATTGGTCTGCTTGATGATCTTGACAAAGAGCTCAACACGTACGCTATGAGGGTTCGTGAATGGTATGGTTGGCATTTTCCTGAGCTTGCTAAGATCGTACAGGACAATATCTTATATGCTAAGGCTGTTAAACTTATGGGGAATCGGGTTAATGCTGCAAAGCTAGACTTCTCTGAGGTAAAGCCCTGTTTGAAGATTTGACTTCCTTGTCCTTAAAATTAGTTATGTCTTTTTGAAAATTTGTTTCTGTGTCCGACCTAATCTCAGATATTGGCTGATGAAGTTGAAGCAGAACTGAAAGAGGCTGCTGTGATATCTATGGGAACTGAAGTCAGCGACCTCGATTTATTGCACATCCGAGAACTCTGTGACCAGGTTCTTTCTCTTGCTGAGTACAGAGCTCAGCTTTATGACTACTTGAAGAGCAGAATGAACACAATTGCACCAAATCTTACTGCCCTTGTCGGGGAGCTAGTCGGTGCTCGCTTAATATCTCACGGTGGTAGTTTGTTGAACCTGGCAAAGCAACCTGGAAGCACGATTCAGATTCTTGGAGCTGAAAAAGCATTATTTAGAGCCCTTAAGACCAAGCACGCCACTCCAAAGTACGGTCTAATTTACCACGCATCTCTGGTTGGCCAAACTGCACCAAAGAACAAGGGTAAAATTTCACGGTCATTAGCTGCAAAAGCTGTTCTTGCTATCCGTTGTGATGCCCTTGGTGATGGCCAAGACAACACTATGGGAGTGGAAAACCGTTTAAAGGTACCCTTCAATACTATTTTTTTTCATCCCCTCTGATCTGATCTAATTTTTCTTCCTTCATTGATGTTTATTATGTGGTCTGTATTCTTCTGACAGCTTGAAGCACGGTTGAGAACTCTCGAAGGAAAAGATTTAGGACGTCTGTCTGGCTCAGCTAAAGGCAAACCAAAGATTGAAGTTTATGACAAAGACAAAAAGAAAGGATCCGGAGGTCTGATCACTCCTGCTAAGGTCAGATAATTCCTCTGCTAGATTGTTTCTTCAACTTTCTTTTGTAATTATGTTCGAGAAATTTCTGAATTGTGGATTAAGCTGTTTCTTGTTGTTGTTTTCTGCAGACTTACAACACAGCTGCAGACTCTCTTCTTCAAACTCCTACAGTGGATTCAGATAACGGTGTCAAAGAGAAGAAAGACAAAAAGAAGAAGAAGAAGAAGGCTGATGATGAGGAAGAACCCAAAACTGAGGAGCCTTCGAAGAAGAAGTCGAAGAAGAAGAAAACAGAAGCAGAACCTGAAACCGCCGAAGAGCCTGCAAAGAAGGAGAAAAAGAAGAGAAAACACGAGGAAGAGGAAACCGAAATGCCTGCTAAGAAGAAGGAAAAGAGTGAAAAGAAGAAGAAGAAAACTGAGGTCTGAGGAGAGTTTTAAAATTTTTGCGTGGTCTAGTTTCTCTACGTTGTTATCAGAAACAAAGAAAAGCTTTTGTTGCGTTACTTTTGCATTAGGTGTTAAGTAAGGTTTTTTTTTTTTTTGGTCTGAAACTTGAAAAAGGAACTGTTCTTCATTTTGTAAGGTTATGTGTGGTTTAGTCCCTAAAACTTGCATTTCTGCTAAACAATCTAGTAAAGATTAATTTACACATTTTATTTGGCAGTCAATGTTAAATTTTACCTTTGTGGTACCTCGGTAATTTTTGAAAGTGATTGTGTAGTGCTCATCAACATAGTTAATGGCTATCTATTGATATATCCATAGCAAATCAGTGTCAAGACGTCCTATATTGGTCTAAGAAGTTTAAGGATTATTAGTTTTGTTTTCACAAAAAGATGTTGTAATATTAAGGCAGCTCATAATCTTGCTAATGGTTGTTTAAATTCAATCTTTTATTCTGATGTTCTTAATCCGTCTTTTTTTGGCGTTATCAACAGTTGTATCTAGATATTTTTGATTCAAGATTAATATAATCAATATTTCGAAAGAAAAGTTAAAAAAAAACAAAAAAAACAATTTTACTAGCGAAAATAGACTCTTAGAAACTATTTAACTGTTTATTAATTAATGTGTGGTTGTCAAAAAAAAAAAAAAAAAACTATTTAACTGAATTTAAATTTATTAAAATATATAATCTTTTGTTTCAAAAGCCTTGAACATAACTAATTGATATGATAAAATTAAATTTTTAACTTCAAAATTAATTTATACTTTTTTATTTAATCACATTAGGTATATATAATTATTATTATTCTTTTTTGTGCGGCTTTTTTTTTTTAATATTTATAAACTTTTAGTAGGAAAAATCCTAAATGCTTAGAAAATAATTAATACAAAACATTAATAAGTTGGGCAGTAAAAAAGAAAACAACAAAGCCTATAAGTTTGAGTCGGTGTCCCATGCCCTTAGGATATATGTCTATATATATCTTCGTTGCCTCTACTCTCTTCCCACTCTCTCGTCTCTTGTGAGAAACATTATGCCTTCGTCAAGCGTTGTTGATTCCACAATGAAGAAAGGAACAAAACGCAAAATCGAAATAAAGAAACGTGAAACCAAACAGCAACGAGCCGTGACTTGCTCTAAACGCCGTCAAACTGTCTTTTCCAAAGCCGCCGATCTCTGTCTTCTCGCCGGAGCCAACGTCGCCGTCTTCGTAACCTCTCCGTCTGAGAGTTCCGATGTTGTTTACTCTTTCTCTGGTTATTCTCCTGCCTACGAAATAACCGATTGCTACCTCAACGAGAAGCCTCCACCCACGATTGTTAATCCCCAATCCAAGCTAGGGTTTTGGTGGGAAGATCCCAATCTCTACCATTCTTGTGACGATCTCTCTCAGTTAAACATTATCGAGGATCGTTTACAGAGAATGAAGAAGCATGTGATGGCTTGCCTTGAGAAGAAAGAAAAATCTCAACTTGTTTCTAGTTTCGACCAAAACCCTAGCAGTGCTTGTTCTCTCGACGAGGATTGCGGTGGATCTTCTTCAGATTTTTGTCCAAACCCTAGCTCCTCTGTCCACGAGTCTTGCAGCGATCAAACCCTAGCTTCTTTCCATGGCGATCAAAACCCTAACTCCTCGCCTCAGTCTTCCTCACAGATCGTTTCTTTTGATCAGAATTCTTACTCCGCTCTCAATCAGACCTATGGAGAATCTTCTTCACAAGTTGCCTGTTTTGATCCAAACCCTAGCTTCGAGATCCAAGGATGTGAAACAGAGGAAGAGAATAACCAAATCAATCTACTACAAGAAACACAAACAGAGGCCACAGTCAATTTGTATGGTGAGAGTTTTTGGGATAGTCTCTTCAAAGATGATGATGGGTTTGGTCTAAACAGCGACTTCTGTCTCGACACCACCAATGACTTGATCGACTTGGGAGAATTCAATGAAGAAGAACTGGAATATCTCGACTTTAGTCAGTTCACTTATTGAACAGTTGTTTAATTTTTAAAATCTTAACTTGTATTAATTCTTAGGTATTATTATGTACAGTATATGTAACGATCATAAAAACTTGATGTTAATTGTTTCATCAGATTTGTCTCGTTGGAAACAAAGGTTCTCTATTTTGTTTCCTTAATAGTCAGATATGAAATCTATAATTACTATTAGTGTAGTTGAAATATAGTTGATCAAGGATTAAAATACTACTGTATATAGTGGTTCTCTTTAGAATTATTGTATAAGAATTTCGAGTTGATCAACTTTACTGTAAATGTTTTCTATACATATGAAGAGAAAGTATCAAATGCATCAATATAGAGGAATTTCTCCTCAAAGCTTGATAATTCTTCTCGTTCCACATCTTCTTCCGCTACCGTTTTCAACTGCTGATCCTTAAATCTTCCTCAATTTCATCAGGTAGTGCTCATCGCAGTCTATGGAAGGTGTCAAAGAGAAAGGTTCTGCAACCATATAGTTAGTGTATGACATTACTTGCCTCACAAGAAAACTCATCTTCTTTGTTAGAGTGGTTTACTTTTATCTTTAACGTGATCTCCTCAAACCGTCCATGCTTCTCGTCCACACTGCATCTCGTTAATATCCAGGATTGAACCCACCGAGGAACGACTTGATGTGCAGCCAGGGCCGGCCCAATAGATTTGGCTGCCCAAAGCATTCTTAAGCCCACACAATTAATAAAGTCACAAAAAAAAACAGTTTTGGGACTCGAACCTTGCACCAAAAGGACAAAAACCTAGGGGCTAACCACTGCACTACATAATATTTTGTAAAAGTGATGCCCTTTACTGCTATATATAAATTTTGGCGCCTAAAGCAAGGGCTTTACCAGCTTTAGCTCAGGGCCGGCCCTGTGTGCAGCTGCAGACGATGCTCCAGTTGGGAATCAGAGAAGCAATTTCCTAGAGATATATGGCGAGACATTGTCACCAGTTGCTTCTTTTGATCCAAACCCTAGCTCCGAGATCCAAGGATGTGAAACAGAGGAAGATAATAACCAAATAATGATTCTATCCCAAGAAACACAAACACATGAGAACGTCAATTTGGATGATGAGAGCTACTTTGGAATGATCTATCCAACGATAATGTGTTCTGCCTCGACATCACCAATGACATGATCCACAGACCACAGTGGATAACTTTTCAGTGAAGAGGAGAGGGAATGGCTCGACTTTAGTCAATTCACAGATTGAATAATGTGTGATGTGGTTTTAATCTTTAAATTCTAACTTGTTCTAATACTTAGGTACCAATCAAGGGACATAAAGTTAACTGTTACAAAATCTATACTATATAAAAGTCGAGGCTATAAGCTCCTTAGGCCGTCCACCTAGGATTTTAAATCACCAATCGCGGTTTGACATCTCATTAACTAACTTTTTTAACCAAGACGTTAATTAACATTTTTAAATTTGGATATTTTCTATACTAAAATATTAATTAAAAGGAAAACAAATTATGGAAAGATGAGAAATGTGAATATTTGAAACAACAACATATAGAAATAAGACAAATGTAAAGTATAGATTACAATATTATTTTTTTATATATAAAAATCGAAGCTATTAGCTCCTGAGACAGTCCACGTGATTTTAAACGACAAGTCGCAGTTAGTCATCTTGCTAATTAACAAATTTTGCCATTACGTTAATTAACATTTATAAATTCGGATAGATATTTTCTATACTAAAATATTAATTAAAAGGAAAAAAAAACAGTATATGAAAAGAAGAGAAATGTGAATTTCTGAAACAACAACATATAGAAATAAGACAAATGTAAAACAATTATGGAAAGAAGAGAAATGTGAATGTTTGAAACAACAACATATAGAAATAAGACAAATGTAAAGTATAGATTGTAAAAAAATTATGGAAAGAAGAGAAATGTGAATATTTGAAACAACAACATATAGAAATAAGACAAATGTAAAGTATAGACTACAATATTATTTTGGGTTTTTAGTAATAAAACCCCTAAACTAAAGATGAATCGTAAAAAAACCCCTCAACTATATATTTAGTGCAAAAACCCCTCAACTTTAAATATGTTCATGAAAATTTCCCTTCGTCTCCATTATCGTAAAAATTGGACGGAATATAGTTAAATTGAAACTGAAAAACGACATATATACACTTAAACAACATGAATTGTAAACAAAAACAACAAAATCTTCTTCTATCTGATTATAAATCCTCAAACCTAAGCTCTAAAGTTCTCAAAGTGAAAAATCTAAATTGATGAACCATAATTTATCATAGTAAGATTCTCTGAAGTTTGTGTGGTGTAGAAGTCGATTAGGAGAGATTCTGAAAAATGTTACGTTTTAATTTGAACTGTAGCCTGTCCAATTTCTACGACATTGTAGACAGAGGGGAATTTGCATGAACATATTCAAAGTTGAGGAGTTTTTCCACTAAATATATAATTGATGGGTTTTCTTACTATTTATCTTTAGTTGAGGGGTTTTATTACTAAAAACCCTATTATTTTCTATATATAGCTCCTGAGACAGTCCACATGATTTTAAACGACCAGTCGCAGTTAGTCATCTTGCTAATTAACAAATTTTGCCATTACGTTAATTAACATTTATAAATTCGGATATTTTCTATACTAAAATATTAATTAAAATGAAAAAAAACAATATATGAAAAAAAGAGAAATGTGAATTTCTGAAACAGCAACATATAGAATAAGACAAATGTAAAACAATTATGGAAAGAAGAGAAATGTGAATATTTGAAACAACAACATATAGAAATAAGACAAATGTAAAGTATAGATTGTAAAAAAATTATGGAAAGAAGAGAAATGTGAATATTTGAAACAACAAATGTAGAAATAAGACAAATGTAAAGTATAGATTACAATATTATTTTCTATATATAAAAGTCGAAGCTATTAGCTCCTGAGACAGTCCACGTGATTTTAAACGACCACTCGCAGTTAGTCATCTTGCTAATTAACAAATCTTGCCATTACGTTAATTAACATTTATAAATTCGGATATTTTCTATACTAAAATATTAATTAAAAGGAAAAAAAACAGATTTTGAAAATAAGAGAAATGTGAATTTTTGAAACAGCAACATATAGAAATAAGACAAATTCAAAGTATAGATTACAATATTATTTTTGGTTATATTTTACCAAAATTACTTTTTTTTAATAAATGTTGATGCAATATTTTCCAAATTAAAAGTTCATATAAAAATCGATTAATATCTTTTAAGATAGTGATTAAAAATATTAAAAATATTTATTTATTATTTTTACTTAAATTTCGTTGAAAAATATTAGTCCATAAATCTTTGACCGCCTATTTTTTTCTAGCTATATCTTTCACAAATTATAGGAAATGTTTTATAAAAACTAAGCTGATAATGACATGTGTATATAGAAAAACATTATTATTCTTCTATAGATATCGTCAAGTTGAAAAATAAATCCTAAAATTTTCATCGCCTCTTAGTTTCCTATAATTACCTTGATGAGAGTTTTTGTTTAGCTCATATCAAGTTCGGTGAGCTTTTTTTAAAAGAAAATCTTTTTGTTTAGCTCATATCAAGTTCGGCAAGCTTTTTTAAAAGAAAATCAGACGGTAAGTTTGTAGAAACGTGCATGTGCTGCCGTTTCATGGGCAGAAGAACCACACACAACTTTTAAGTAGAAGATGTAAATAACAAAAGAAAAGACCTTTATTTTATTAGAGCAGACTGATAGTTCGTTCGTAGGTTGGATGAGAAGAGAATGTGCATACCAGTTTTTTTGTGGAAACTGCATCCGCGTTTTTTACTTTATTTCTGAATAGAGGTGAAGATCACAACATATATGAAATCGGATCAAAGTTACGAATTTTGATGATTCATGATTGTAATGGGCATGATGACGTTTGTGTAAATTTTCAAGAGTGACGGAGATGCTACGTTAGTGTGAAGGCGGAGAGAGGGATCTATAGTTTTGTCGCTCATAAGTCATAACCATGTTTTTATGCTTGAATGTTAAAATATTTATATATATATATAACATATTTTTTTTAAAATTTTAACTCTCATCATCAATTGTTACTATCGCTTTTTGTTGGATCTAACTTTCCTCCATCCCAGATGTTATATCCTGTGGAGATCAACCTCTATGTTACTTGGAGGTCTACACCACCACTTAATATATTATGGTTCTGTTTATTAGATTGTTTGTCATGTGAAACTGAAAGTTATTTTTATTGTTTTGGTGAGAGTAGTTTTTATATTAAGCTTCTAAAAGAGTCTGGTTGAGTTTGTGTATGGTAAATGTGCTAATTGGGATAGAGAATGAAACAAAGACATTGAGTGCTTACAAAAAGATAGAAAGAGTGATACCTCCCGAAAAAAAATTGTAAAGACGGAAATTCATATACATATTGAAAATAATGTAAGAAAAATATGATTTGTTAACAAGAAAGTATAGATAAGCTAGCTTAGTAATGTTAAAACGGGCTACCCGGTCTGTTTAAGCCCGAACCCGTTTAACAAAAAAAATTAAAGCCCGTTTAGGTTCATACCCGTTTAAGCCCGCCAAATTTATAAAGGCCCGTTTAGGCCCGTCTATTGTCTTCCCTGATTTAAAAAAAAAAAGCTATACTAACTAATGCAGAAAATATACTTTAGTAAGGATCTTATATTTAGAAGAGCTATACTAACTAATGAAGTAAATATACTTTTGTAAGGATCTTATACTTATCATAAGCTTATGAGTAAACTTTTGTAAGGTTCTTATATTTAGAAGAGTTATACTAATTAATGCAGTGAATATAGACGAAATACAATAGTGAATTTGCAATTACAAAAATGAGAAATTCGTCGAAGTTAGACCCCATAAAAAATTTATTTATTTCATGAAAAATCTTGTCATCCAAATATCTAAAGCTAAAGAGAGAGAGCTATTAAACAAAAAAAGATATAATTTTGATAAATGTTGTAAAAATCTAAATGTTGTATTAGAATTTTTTTAAGTTGTATATTTTAATTGAACTATTTGTCATGGTAATTTTAAAATTCAAAGAATTTGAACTATTAACAATAACAATAAGTAGAAATATAAAAACATATATTCAAAAAGTTTAATAAATATTACTAATCACACAAAATTTTATTAAAAAAAATTTAAAAATAGACCCACGCGTAGCGTGGGTTCA